TATTATTATGAATCTAGTCCTGGTTGGTAAACAGATGTTTTTGATGTTTTGATGTTTAATAGCCATGCCCTGACTTCTTCTTCTTCTTATTATTATTATTATGAATCTAGTCCTGGTTGGTAAACAGATGTTTTTGATTTACCCATCTCAGGCTGAGAGAGAGTGACTGGTCAAGAGTCACCCAACTGGCTTCTCTGCCTAAAGGAGGATTAGAACTCCAGCTTCCAGCTTCCAGTCCAGTGCCTTTAACTTATTCTCAATTGAATGAAGATGGATGGATGGATGGATGGATGGATGGATGGATGGATGGATGGATGGATGGATGGATGGATGGATGGATGGATGGATGGATGGATGGATGGATGGATGGATGGATGGATGGATGGATGGATGGATGGATGGATAGATAGACAGAGATATTTTATCTCCTTTAATCATCACACCAAATTGGCTCTCAATTAAATGACATTCTTAATGTATACGCACAGACAGAGAATGAGAGATTCAGAGAGATTATCCAGTTGAATGTACTGGTATTCGCTCTCTCTCAGCCAGAATATTTTAAGGGACTAAGTTTCTCTTCAGGGAGGAATTCTCTTTCCTGCAGCCAAAAACAAAAGTGGAACACTAACTCTATTGGAATTTGATGCAGTATAAGCTTTTCATAAGGAATATCCTTTAGCAAATGGCCCTTAGTTTGTAGTATCCCAGAGACGGAGTTTTTAAAGATAATTTTCATTTGCCTATGAACAACTATCACCAAACAGTATAACAACCCTACAATAAGGATGGTGAACCAAGCCTCTACACACATAAGGCTCATGCAAATGATGCTTCCAGTACAACCCATAACAGTGTGGCTGCCATTTTAAGATTCCACTGAAGCCAGAGAGGGCATTTTATTTATTTGTCAGTCAAATTTGTATCCCAGCTGCTATTAAATTGTTCACCACAAAATCAGACTGCAGCTGAAGTATTATATGGGATGCAGGTGGGATCATATTCTATTCCATTCTATGAAAAAGTGAAGTTGTCTTGTTTATAACACCAGATATATTTCCTGTGCAGAACTGACTGGAGACAGGACTCCCCAAGAGGGAGACGAGGATTTGGCAGTCGATTCTGTTTATACGGGTCAAGATCAAGCTGGCCATGACTGGGTTGATTTCCCTAATTACAAGGATGAATTTAAATCTAGATGGTAGATGCACATACAGTGGAACCTCGGTTCACGACTTAATTCGTTCCGCGACTCTGGTCGCAACCCGAATTGGTTGCGACCCAAAGCAAATTTTCCCATAAGGTTCAATGTAATTACCGTTAATCCATTCTGGCATGGGGGACAGGGAGGCGGCTCTTGCTTGGAGGGAGAGTCCCCCTCGCTACGACCATGTGTCAAGGGTGGAAAATGGCCGCGGACCACGTGTCAGGGGTGGAAAATGGCCGCGGATCACGTGTCAGGGGCGGAAAAATGGCCGCGGACCACGTGTTAGGGCAGAAAATGGCCGCGGATCATGTGTCAGGGGCGAAAAAATGGCCGCGGATCACGTGTCAGGGGCGGAAAAATGGCCGCGGACCACGTGTCAGGGGTGGAAAATGGCCGCGGATCAGGTGTCAGGGGCGGAAAAATGGCCGCGGACCACGTGTCAGGGGTGGAAA